GGAGCCCGGCACGTATAGAGGGGAGGAGGGGCAGAGAGGCTGCTTTTGTCTGTTCGGCAGCCTGTTGCTCAGGGGAGGGGGCAGCCTGTTGCTGGCAGGGAGGTTGGGGGGGCAGCGGGCGGGGGGAGGCACTTTTCCCCTGCCCGGCAGCTCTGCGGGACCCCAGTCAGAGCCGGCCCAAGGAGGAGGAGGATCCTAGGACCCAGGTGAGCGAGCCCTGGGAATGCTGCTGCGCATGTGCGGGAGTTGCCTCACCCCGTTCGTATCTAGGGATCCGACGTAAGTCGGATCCACGTAAGTCGGGGACTTCCTGTATTCCAATGAAAACAACATGGGAGGAACTCAGACAATATGGGAAGTGTGGCAAATCACCAATACTGAGGACAACTTGGTGGTCTAGCTACTGCAGAGACGAAGGAAGTTGTAAGTATCACCCTTTTAGAAGCAGAGTGCTTTGACTCCTTCCCTGTGTCCTGCTTCTGCAGTACAGAAGACAACCTTGATACCAATGCATGTTTGGTGTCATCAATCTTGGGCCTTGTCCATGTTTACCTGGAATTCACATATCTTAATTTGACCTTCGGTGCCGTTGCCACAGCTTATGTGAATTGAGGAGTACTGGCATCCATGGCAGCACCCTGCTAAATCAATGGGAAATCCGCTAAATCAAACTCCAGATGATCAACCACCGCAGCATCAGTCTTCCCAGAAGTGAAGAAGTGGCCTTAGAAGAGCTCAGAGCCCCAGCCAGAAGATCACTAGTAACAGAGCCTGGAGTCTTATCAATAACTAGAGCAGACTATGCAGTCTCCAAGTCAGTCTTACTTTGTGGAGCCTGACGATTTCTCAAAGTGGATTTTAGAAAGTGAATAAGACTACATTCTATAGGTCTTCCCTGAGTCTTCCACCATCCTCTTGGTTTGAATTCACTGGTCTACAATTATGGGAGTTATTTAAGGGTTTACCTCACAATTGAGCAGGTCACATTCATTGAACCGAAACATCTTCTTATCAAATGGAATTGTCCGTTTTTCCTTTTGTAAATTTTCTATGCTACGCAGAAATGATACATGCAGTTGCTGCTCATTGTTGGCGCTCAATGAGTAACACATTGCGGCTATAAACATACAAATACCACAAACAACAGCAAAGCTAAGATGAAGGCCTTAAGTTAAAAGAGAAATTCTTTTAATTATGTACAATTCATGCTACTGTAATGGACGATGCGGAGCTGTGCCAGTATTCTGTATCACAGTTACATTCCCCTTCTTCATGCACCTCAGTTCAACTTTTTACTGACACACAGGCCAGGGTGCTGCCTTTCAAAACTTTTCAGATTACATACTTGAATATCGGGGCTACTGTATGAAAAACCCTGTTAAACAGGTGTTAATTGATTCAAAACCATGTCAAAGATTCATAGACTTTAAGGTCAGAAGGGACTATTATGATCATCTAGTCTGACCCCCTGCACAGTGCAGGCCACAGAATCTCACCCACCCACTGCTAGAATAATCCTCTCACCTATATCTAAGATATTGAAGCCTTCAAATACGTTGAAGACCCCAAGATGCAGAGAATCCTCCAGCTGTGATCTGTACCCCATGCTACAGAGGAAGGCGAAAAACCTCCAGGGCCTCTGCCAATCTACCCTGGAGGAAAATTCCTTCCCGACCCCAAATATGGTGATCAGCTAAACCCTGAGCATGTGGGCAAGACTCACCACCCAGAAAGTTCTCTATAGTAACTCCTATAAGAGAAAGAGTATCATTGACTTACTTAGAAAAAAACAAGCATGTAATGCACACTGATAGCACTGTAAATATTATGGAGCACAGTAAACAGTTTTTGGACTACTCTGACTAATTAAAACAAAGCTATTAGACAATACATATGCTGGCATTCCTTATTCAGACTTTCCCCCTCTGTTTCTCTTACATGTAGTGAAATATATGGTTTCAACATCATATTTTTTATACTTCAGCAATGCATAGCCCATTCTGATCTTCACTGAGAAGTGGTTTCTGCCTTTAGAGTGTGAGCGTAGTATGTTGTCTGTGTGTGACCTGGATTCTTCAGAGCTTGCAAAGAATATTAGCATTTCATTCCTTTCTAACCCTTCAGAACTCTGTCACTTAATAAGTAGTCTGGGACTAGCCACCGCTCAGAGCAGTTCAGCCTTGGGGTTAATAGCTGACGGACTCTAGGCTACAGATTTCTCCAGCAACTGAAGACCAAATTGCTACAGGACTGGGGACCCAGCTCTCACAACTGGCATGCCTTTTGGTCCTGCATTGATCAGCCCTTGGCTTCAGTGCCTATATTTATAATCTTCTGTTCCCCCACTTGCACTCTGATTGCCCTATGTCTCAGAGAGAGACTGAGGTGAAAACTTTCTATTGGGCTTCAGAAATAGCTACTGAGCATGTACGGTAACTATCTGTAACTGTACCTCTGTAGGTCACAACTGGGAATGCCCAATTCAGGACAAATTGGTGAGAAATAGGGCAGATGCACTCGAAGAGTCACACTCCTCCTAGGTGGGGAGCACAGGGCCCCACATGCTACCCCCACCACCCTGAGCACTGGCTCCACATGCCCAGTGGCCGGTGCCTTGTCAATACTGCTGTATTTATAATCTTTCCTCACCGCCGCTTGCTGGTGCTTGCTGCCTGACTCCTGCCCCCTGCCTAAGAGCCAGACCATAGGCTACTTCTAGGATGCAGTGTGGTGTCCCAGGATTGACAGGCACCAGGTAGCCTGCCTTAGTGCTGCTGCCCCAGTAAGCCCAAGGCTAAACCCTCCGCCCCAGATCCCAGCCCTGAACTCCCCCCACAATCCAGAGCCACCTCCTGCACCGGTACACTTCATCCCTGGTTCCATTCCAAAGCCCACACCTCCCAGTCTAGAGTCCCTACCTCCTCAAACCCCCAGGCCTGAGCACCTCCCCAAATCTGGAGCTCCACACCCTCTTGTATCCCAAACCCCTCATCCCTGCCACCCTAGAAACTGCACCTCCCACTCCAGAGTCCTCCCCACTGAATCCCAACTCCCTGCCTCAACCCTCAGCCCCCTCTGATATTCCAAATGCCTTGGCAACATACACACGGAGCCTAGAGTCCCCGCCTACCCCTTCATTCCCAGCCCCATTCCAGAGCTCACACCCCCAACTAGAGCTCTCACCCTCTCCCAAACCCTTGCCCCAGCCCAATGAAAATAAGGGTGGAGGAGGTTTAATGGTAGTTTGAATTAGCAGCTTTAATTCGAACTACCTAGCCCATGCCGCGTGTAGCCGCGGGCAGGTAGTTCGAACTGCGGGGCATTTAAAAATGGCGGCGCCCAGAAAAATGCAAATAAAGCCCGGGATATTTCAATCCCAGGCTTCATTTGCAAGTTTGAATGCCTACATTAGCCACCCTAGTTCAAATTAGGGTGGCAGTGTAGACAAACCCTAAGGTGTTTGTACACAAATGCAAGAAGCCTGGGAAACAAACAGGAAGAATTAGAAGCCCTGGCCCAGTCAAGAACTATGATTTGATTGGAATAACAGAGACTTGGTGGGATGACTCGCATGACTGTCATGGAAGGGTATAAACTGTTCAGGAAGAACAGACGGAGGAGAAAAGGAGGAGGAGTTGCATTGTATGCAAGAGAACATTATGATTGCTCGGAGCTTCAGTACTTAGAGGGAGAAAAGACTGTTGAGAGTCTATGGGTTAAATTTAGAGGCAGAAGCAAGATGGGTGATGTTGTGGTCGGTGTTTGCTATAGACCACTGGATCAGGTGGATGAGATAGACAAAGCTTTATTTGGACAACTGAGAGAAGCTTCCAGATCGCAGGCCCTGGTTCTCATGGGTCTTTAATCACCCTGACATCTGTTGGGAGACCAATATAGCAATACACAGACAATCTAGGAAGTTTTTGGAGACTATGAGCAGCAGGTCAAGCTGCGTATGTACCATGGTCAGTTCCTTCAGCACTTGCACCAAGAAGTTATCCACAACAAACAGGGAGGAACTAGTAGGGTAAGTAGAGGTGGGTGACAAA